TTTTAATTTGTATTAATCATCTCATCATTCTGGGCATCAGAGTCATGGTACAAGGTATCAAGAATGCACTTGTCTTTCTGTGGCAAAACAACACTATTCAGAATGAAGCTTCTAATCCAAGATCAATTTTTGCTTACACAAACATGCTAACCAGCTTAAATAATGACTACACAAACACTGTGTCTTCCTGGTAAGTAAAGCAGATCCCCCAACAACAGGAAATATGTTTTCATGCATTTCCATCAACAAGATCATCAGGCTATCAGTAGTATTTTGCCAGTAGTATACTGGAAACCAGATCCCCCTGAGGCCAGTCCCAGGCAAAAGAACAAAGTTTATGATTAAGTAGAAAATAACTACCATAAAATGCCACTATGACTAAGTCAAAAAAGATATAAAGGTCAAGCAAAAGGAAGAAATAAGCTGATTTTCTAAAGGCCCTTGAATAGAAGATTTAATTTGCATTTTTGGCCAGTTCATAAACAGAATGATGATGCATCATACCATAGGAGCAAACAATGCAAATTTAAACTCCGTGGTTGAAGCAAAAGCAAACAGAATTGGGCTAACTACTAAAATTGACTCCTTGGTTGAACAATTATTTTCTAACTAGAGACATAACTCCAATTTAATACTTCATAATTATTATTTTTTTACAGTGATTGGGAAATGTTCCTTTTGTCAGACAAACTGACAGTTAGTGGCCCATAATAACTGATAAATGATAACTATCAGGAGCAAATGGTTGGGAGCTATTCAGGAGTCCTTCTAGAACCTTAGGGAAGGGAAATCCTATGAAGAAATGACGTCCCATGCCCCTTAGTTAAGTGGAGGGAGCTGAAAAAGAAAGGAGTTTGGTACAAGGACAGAAAAAGACAGAAACAGATAGTTGCAAGTGTAAAGCAGTTTCTGAGTGCATGTCTCTCACACTGGGAATGTGGTACAGGGCAGCCAGCACACCTGCTGCTTGCATCCACTCATGGTCCATGTACTTACATGTAAACAAATAAAACCCTGCACAACTATTGTATGACTCCAGCACTCTCTCCTCCAAAGGAAATCAGACCCAGTAGTGCTGCCCCTGGAATTTTAGGAAAAGGGTGCCGATACTCATAATGGTATCATTCACGGCACTCTGAAGGTGCAACCCAGCATGAAACTCTTTCCCGCATTATTAGCTGTTGTGCAGCTCCTGCTCACTTCAACAGGGCCTCAGGAACAGATTTTTTCATCCAGCAAAGCTCCATAATTGTGTGTAATACTGATGAAAATAAACAGAAACAAATGATCTAAAAATGATTTAAAATCCCTTTGAAACTTTGCCAACTTGTGTTCTCACAACAAACTCCATTGATATAAACCTTTATCATATGTTTCAGCAAAACAGAAAGAGACAAAAGGAAAACCATGAATATTAATCTTATGGACTAGGACTGAGGCAGAGGCACAGCAATTTGCTCAAAGCCAAACAGCAAGTCTGTGACTGAATCTAGATTTGAACCCACATTTTTGAGAGGTTGAAGTCAATGTTATGCTTGTTCAAAATGTTTAAGTACACTGTGCAACTTAATATGCCTAACCAGGAGTAGGCAATGTTTTTGAGCCTTTGGGAACATCTGGCAGTTTCTACACCTGTTCTGGGTAGCCCCACAAAATGGCAGCCATTGGAGGCAAAGAACAAGTAACCTACCCAAAAGTCTGAATACAAGTCAGAAATGGGCTTGGAGCCCAAGTATGGAACATTTCAGTGATAACAAAATCAATGTCATGGTGATCTCAACTGCTGTCAAGACAGTGTGTGTGTGTGTGTGTTAATTATGAGGAGTAAAACACCTTGATGGGCACACAGAAAGACATCTGGGAAATACAGTGCTCACAGGTCCCACACTGCCTGTTCCCTGGCTTAAGCAACATAAGAAACAAAACAAAAAACTAGTCAGGCCTGGCCTATACACCTAACATGCTAGCCTCCACCAGCGCTGACTGGAGCCTCCTTGTTATAATTATAATTGTAAAAGAATGTATGGTCCAAAAAGAGGTATAGAGTAAAATGACTGCAGCCACTGCAATCTGCATTACCCAGAATGCCTGTGAATCTCAACATACAGCCCAGAGGCATTCTGGGGAAATAAAAATGGTGAGAACTTCAGCCACTTTATCCAGCACTTCTCTACAATGTGGCAAGATGTTCAAACTTCCCAGTACCATTGCTGTATGCTTCCACCCACTGCATTGCCCTAGTAAGTTCACATGGAGGCCACCAGGACAACAAACCTTGCAACCCAGCTCAAGGTGACTGATCAAAGATTAGTGTATGCCACACATCTACATTTTACTATACAGAGAATATCTCAGGTCCCACAACGTATCTTAACCATTCCATGCATTCGCTTTGCAAGAAGAAGACATCCAGAGTGATATTTGTCCTGCCCAAGCTGTTTTTAAATTATCTATCCACATGGCTGTATCCTGGGGAAGGGAGACATCTTACATAATTTCACTGAAAGAAGCTGGGGGGTGGGGGACTGCACTGCATTTCACACCAGAGCCCCAGACCTACATAAGCAAACTGGCACATGAAATGTTAAACAGGGAAGTTCTCATCCAATAAATAATATAAAAAGAGAATTGTGCAAAATAATACAATCAGGGAGCACAGAGCATCATTTCAGTGGTCATCTCATCATTCATATCCAGTAAGTTCACAATTATATTCCATATTATCTGTGGTGATTTCTCCTCTTTCTTAGAATCATATGACCATAAGCAACAATTTACTGCTCTTTAAGTGTTGCAATATCCCTATAATAAAGAGCTACTCAGGAGAAGACATCTGGATTTCTACTTCAAATGAACAACTGCATATATATTATACAGAAATGAAGATTACTTGGAAAGTCCCTTAAGAGCTCAACTCTCAACTGAAAGGCCATGCTCACATGAACAAGTTATTCAGATGGGTGTGCTTCACTTCTGGAAAGATCACATGATCTTTATATGCATAGAAGGAAGATTATGCTAATTTAAAGTTATGTGAGGATGCTTTGTTTTGCTTTCTAGTACAGTGAAACTGTCTTGTGAAAAGAAGCATCTTATGCAGATGCACAGCAGGCTCAATTCTGGAAATGTTCTTATCTTAAAATAATTCAAGAGAAAGGTTTATATAATATGTGCTCCCTATGGATACATTATGTGAGCAAATGTTCTAAGAGAAGGAGGGCAAACTATTTTCCCCCTAGTGGGAGAGTTAATTTTTCCAAACTAAATCAATGGGATTTCAAAGTGGGACAATATCCATCACTGATGGCATGATTCTAGGTGGTGGCATGAAAAAGCCTTCAATATTGAACATACATGTGGCAATGTTTCACAATCTTTAAACTGCAAGATTATACATACATTGCTATGTATAATCCAAATTTTGTTTTCTGGTTTTTCCACTGCAAACATAATTTTAGAGTTAAATGGAACAAAAAAAGCAGAAAAATGATATAATATTACAGACTTAAAACAACAAAAAGCCTTTGTGAAAGGGCTGAACTACTACTAATAAATGGAATGCTGAAAAATTTGGAGTGGGAATAAATGGAAACTTGTAGGAAAATTGGCAATCTATGAAAACATCTAGGATAAAGTATCAAACACTGATTTCAGAGGTCTTTATCCACCTCCACCCTTCTTCCAAATTTATGAACAATTGCCTCTAACATTTACAATTTCAATTCATGAAGGTAGCAGTCACAACCCTAAAACTAACTAACTGAGAATACAGAAGCATTATTCTCCTTAGTAACTTGATGTGATTTCAGGCCTGTGTTTCAGCTGTTCATGTTTCTGACATGAACATTTTAGTAAGGCCTTGTGGCTTTGTTTCCCCCCTAGCCTTAGGAAATACATATTTAAGAATAATCAACAAGTTCTTTACAGACAATGGTAGTAAAATTTACTCTCTTAACCAACATGGAAAATTTTATAGTTGACAATTGCAGGGAGGAGGGGGCAGAGCAAGAGAGAAAAAGAGAAAGATCTATGCAAACTCTGTGTGTGGCAACAGAAAAACAGCCTTAATGCCAAGCAGAATTAGCTCAGTGGTGCCATTCTTTCCTTGCTAAGCCAAGCCATTACAGCGTCTTCGAACTGCACGTACATAAAGCTCAACTAGTTAAAAAGCGGCTAAGTTCCACCACTCCTGTAGCCAGGTTTTGTAAGAGAGAGGGGGAAAAAAACCACTACTGTAAAATTTGAGTGCTAGGAACAAACAAATCTATGTCAGCAAAGAACAAATATGGGGGTGGGAAGAGAGAGAGAAACCACCCTGAAGATGGCCATAAAGTTATGTTTTCTAGCAGCTGTGTAGCCCTTTCTACTAGGGACAGGCTGCCGAGGCGGTTCTTGAGGGAGGAGATGTGGGGGGAAGAAAAGGGGAGGCAGCCCTCTGTGTCAGAGCTTTCTCAGAGCTGTACAGGAAATGAGAAGTCAAACAAAGGGCCACTCTGTATTCTGTACTACAGACACCCTTCAATTCCCGGAGCTGAGCAGCAAAAGCTCTTTATTATGCCCTAAAAATGATAACCAGCCTCAGACAAAAAACAATGCGCTACCCTATGATTCAATCCTTGTCACAGTCCGCCTGTGCTCTGTGTCAACATAAAGCATCTACAGATAATGCATATTTTCGAGAGAAAGCCATCCACGCATAGAAAAGCTTTCAGAGGCTGTAAAGCATTAAACAAAAGTCCGGACTCACGACTACATTAAATGTATGAACATTTTGCACATAAGAGGAGACAATGTCTTGTCTTAAAAAGGTAGAGTCAGTGCCTCACTTTGAGGCAGAGGAGAAAAATCAGCATTTCTAATGGAAAACAATGAAGACTGCAAAAGATTCGGAAGCTCAAGTCTATTTAAGAAAAGGAACCGCACTGCCAACGCTAAAAAGAAAGATCATAGCCCGGACTTAAAGAGGCAAAGACCCACAGTGCCATATTAATCAAAGTTACCTTCATACTGTCGGAGAATGCCAATATTGTTGTTCATCTTGTCCAAGTACTGATAGTTCAACAGGTCCATCTTCATAAATAGCATTTAGTGGGTTAGCAAAGAAGACCAGCTTGCTTGCTTTCACCCCCAAAACAGCGACAAGAACACAGGCAAATGCTGTTGAGTAGCTCCTGGCTCTTTTCCGAGTTCCACAAGCTCAAGGCCCAGCCTCCAACTAATCAAAACAAAGTATATTAAAAACGAATTGGGGAAAAGGGGGGGGGGGGAGGAGGGAGGAAGCCCTTTTTAAGGGCCTCAGGACAAGAGACGGAGAGTTTAAAGTATACTGTGTCCGCAGTTGCAATTAAAATTGCTTATAGACCTCACTCCAAATTGAGGGAGGGAAACTGAAACAGCAACAAGACTTCCTAGGACAAAGACATGCTAATTCTCCTCACAGCCCGCTGCAAGTTAACTGCACTGACATGCAGGCTATGCTTGGTATGACTCCTATGTAAACTAGCTTCCTCTTTCTAGCAGACAGAGATGACTGAGCATGCTCACTGAATCCCTGGAGCTCTTCAAATGTCAGGGATATTTTCTGCACAAGATCAGTCTCTAAATGTACAAGAGTGTTTGAAAGCAAGACAGAGAAGGAGGAGGAGTTGAAGACGGCACAGAAGGGGCCATGTCAGATTCTGCCCTTACAGGAAGCAGAGTTGCCACTGCACAACTGGAAAAGGAACAAGAAATAAAGCTCAGTTCTCCACAGAACGTTAACTTGATAAATAGGCAACCTATTTTTCTGAAATGTTTCTGAAGCAGATGACAACTTTTTCTTTAAGTTTTTCCCTTGATTTTTATCCCATCTATTGCTTCAATTTAGTTTTACGCTATTTGTAAACTCTTAATAAATGTGCCCTCAACACATATTCATTAAAACATTATTAAATAATTAATACAACAGGGCTTTAGCAAACATTACCATTAGATTGCTCACCATCTGTATTTGAGTGAGAAGAGGAATATAGCAAGAAACGCTTGTTTTGTTAAGTCTCTAATCAGTACATTTGAAATATTTATAGAACCTTTGAAGTTTTTCGTTTGTTTTTTTAGTTACAAAAATTGGATTTAATCTTGGGATTTTAGTATTAAAACCTTCCCTGTCTTGAAAGAAACAAAAGGGATTGTTCTCTCCAATACTCATATTTCAGGATGTGGTTTGTTTTGCTACACTTCAAACCTTGATCCTAAATGTTCATAGTTGTTTATACAGATGCACGTGAATCATCCCATGAGGTGGAACATCTGTAATCAGTGTCATTATGTGAATCCTGAGTCAATGAAAATCAGTCTACTCCTTTCCTATGGTAGATCAGTACATGAAAACTTACTTTCCTAAAAGTAAAATATCAAGGTAAAAAGCTAGGAAGTTAGAGATGCAATGTTTTGATAATAATTTGCTTGTGATTTTATGTACTTCTTGCCAGGTATATTTTAAAATTATTAGGCTGGATCCAGATTTAGTCCCATATAGGGTATACCTTCTGAAATTAATGGGATTTTCAATTGTACACCACCCAGGGAGCCCTATAGGGCTATGGGGGGTAGCTTAAAACTCAAGTAAATAAATAAATAAGTATTTTTAAAATTTAGACATGCTTAACGTAGGTTCCAATTATGTATTTCATTTCTACACTACTCAACAGCTAAAGCTCAGTAGGCGTATTCAGTATTCAGTTATTTCAGTGGCTCTACTTTAGCTTTAGGTATAGCTTAAATCCGGATCCAACCAATTGTTTCAAAGGAAAAGGCTGTAATCTTAAATATGAATACCAGAAATAAACTTAACTAAATGGTTTACTTGCAAAGAAATGATGAGAAGAGCAGGTTGCTTACCTGTAACTGATGTTCTTCGAGTGGCCATCTATGCAGTCACACATATGGGTTCTGCGCCTGTGCAGTGCCTTTGGCCGGAAGATTAACAGCTAACTGTTTTTGGCAGGAACTCCGCTCCCCCTCCCCACAGCATTATATAAGGAGCAGAGTGTCCGCCATTTTCCAGTCTTCGAAAGACCGACGTTTGTTTTTATAATAAGGTTTGTCAGTATGACAATATAGCCCAATTCAGTAGTGGCATGACACATAGCAAAGAGATCATAGTATCGAAAGAAAATAGTCAGAACACCCATGACACCAAGCGGGGTCGAAGGGTGGGTTGTGTGACTGCACAGATGGCCACTCGAAGAACATCAGTTACAGGTAAGCAACCTGCTCTTCTTCGTCATGGCCTCTGTGCATCACACACATGGGTAGAATAACAAGCTTACCCCAAGTGGAGGAGGGAGGTGTCATCAGCGAAGGACAGAAGAAAGGACAGCTCTGCCAAAAGAGCAATCCTGCCTGGCACGGACATCGAGTTTATAATGTCTGGCGAAGGTACACGGGGTAGCCCAAATGGCCACCCTGCACACATCTTCTATCGGGACCCCTGATGCAAAGGACGAAGAAGCAGCAACAGCTCTTTGAGAATGACCTCTTGGAGTAGACGGCAAGTCCAACTTAGCTAACTGATAAGACAGGACAATTGTATTTACTATCCATTTCGAAAGACGTTGTGAAGTGACTGGACAGCCTTGGTCATGTTCCGAATATTTCACAAAAAGTCTATTGGAACGCCGAACAGACTCAGTCCTGGACCTATAACAGGCTAAGCAACGATGAATGTCCAGCATATGTAGAGATCGCTCTATCAGATTTGAAGGGGTCAGAAAGAATGCCGGTAAAACAATCTCCTGTTGCATGTGAAACAAGTAGCGACTTTTGGAAAGAAAGATGGATCCAGCCGAAGAACCACTTTTTCCTTATGAAAATTTAGAAAAGGGGGGTCTACCCGAAGGTCGCAGAGTTCCGAGGATCTACGGGCTGAAGTCACTGCAACAAGGAAGGCAGTCTTCCATGAAGCAAGGCGTAGATTGATCGTCGCCATGGGTTCGAAAGGTGATCGAGTCAGCGCTTGTAAAACCACCGAAAGACTCCAGGTGGGCATTAGAGGTCTTATAGTTGGATGCAGATTACTCAATCCTCTCAAAAATCTTTTAATCAGAGGTTGAGCAAAAATGGAGAGACCATGTATAGTTCCCCAGTAATGTGACATCACTGCTGTATAAACTTTTATGGACGAAGGTTTGAGTCCAGACTGATGCAATTCAAAGAGAAACTGAAGGATCTGTGAAACAGAAGCTGAGGGGGCTGGAAACGAGTGTAAATTGGCAAAGTTAGAGAATCTCTGCCATTTTGCCGCATACGACTTCCTAGTAGATGGTCATAGCGCAGATTCGAGAAGATACTGTAGGTCTGAGTGTAGACTCTGCTGAGCAGGAATGGCAGGGACGGTTGGTGGCGTCGATACCGGTGCATCGCAGCTGGTCATTGTATCCTCCATGCAGTCAGTTTCAGCGACAGCAAGTCTGGGTGGCGGATCATGCCCTCCCTCTGGGTAACAAGAAGAAGAGGGAGTTGGAGAAATTATTCTCGGGAGACGTGAAGGAAAGTTGAGAACCATGGCTGGCGTGGCCACCAGGGGGTGATCAGTAGCCCTGTGGCCCCTTCGTGAATGATCTTTGCCAACACTCTCATGATGAGCGGGATCGGAGGGAAAGCATAAAAAGTCATATTTGTCCAGGGGATCATGAAAGCGTCCCCGAGAGAGTCCTGACCCATCCCCGGTCTGGAACAATAGGCCATGTATGCCCTGTTCTGTTGTGTGGCAAACAGGTCGATGTCTGACTGGCCCCATCGGTGAAATAGCATGTCGCGAACCCAATGGTCTAGCTCCCATTCGTGTGACCGCGACATATGTCTGCTCAAGAGATCCGCGTCTGTATTTTCCATGCCCGCAAGATGAACTGCTAGAAGAGCGATACCTCTCGGTATGCACCAAATCTGCATGGCCAGGCGGGCTAGTTTGCGGGATCCGGTTCCCCCTTGTTTGTTCAAATAAAAGACCGTCGCCATGTTGTCTGAGGTCACCTGGACGACCTGGTGTAGAAGCACATCCTTGAATGATTGCAGGGCTTTGAAAACGGCAGGAAGTTCCAGAAAATTGATATGGTTCCTGCAATCCCGGTGACTCCATATTCCCTGGGTACATAGATCAGAGCAAATGGCTTCCCATCCCAGCAGGGACGCATCGGTGCCGAGGGTTACTGTAGGGTACCGGGGTCGAAACAAAACGCCTACAGTCAGATTGGCTGGGTCTATCCACCATAACAGGGACTGAAGAACAGAAGCCGGGAGTCGAATCTGTTTGGTAGGTGGATCTGTCTGTGGTCGAAACGTTCCATTGAAGAACAGTTGAAGGGGACGTAGCCTGAGTTTGGCATGCGGAACCACAGCGATGGAAGCAGACATGTGTCCCAACAGGCTATGAATAGACCGGGCAGGAACGGTTCTTGCTTGTCGAATCTGAGCAATGCACTGAGCTATCACATGCCATCTGTCCTGAAGAAGGAAGGCTTTTGCCAATGTCGAATCCAGCCGGGCTCCGATAAAGTTGATCACCTGCGTAGGGAGAAGGGAAGATTTCTGTCAATTAATACAGAGTCCGAGATTGTGCAATAGAGCACATGTAAACTCAACAGCAAACGAAAGCCCTGCTTCTGTGTCGGAGACCAGCAACCAATCATCAAGGTACAGGTACATCCGAATTCCACGTAATCGAAGATGTGCACAGACAGGAGCCGTACACTTCGTAAAAACCCTTGGTGCAGTGGCTTATCCAAACAGTAGCACATTGAATTCGTAGATTTCAGAGTCCACCGCAAAATGAAGGAAACGCCTATAACTTGGATGTATTGATATATGAAAATAGGCATCCTTCAGATCCAATGAGGCGAACCAATCCCCTCTTCCCAGCAACGGGAGAATACTTTGAAGTGTGGTCATCCGAAATTTCTTTGGTGTTATAAATCTATTGAGAGCTCTCAAGTCCAATATTTGTCTGAGACCCCCATCTCATTTCGGGACCGTAAAGTATCTGGAATAGAATCCGTGGAATCCCTCTGATAACAACAGGCGACGAATAGCTCCTTTAGCAAGGAGCTGATGAATCTCGTCTAACAGTACCAAGGAAGTCGGAGTATAGCAGATAGGATTCGGTGATGGCACAACGTCGAATTCGATTCCATATCCGTGCTGAATGATAGATAACACCCACCCATTAGATGTGATGGACTCCCAAATGGAGAGCCGACTCTTCAGTCGGTCCCCAAATGAGAGGGGGGAGGGTAGAGTTGGAATGAGAGGAGAGGTTCGCTTGTCGCATCAGCGCTGTCGCCTGTCCACATCAAAGCGGCGGTGGCCCTGTTGGAAGCGCTGGGGTGGTTGTTGCCTGCAACGCTGCTGACGTTGATGCGGTTGCTGTTGCCGAGGCGGAAATTGTTGATGGTACTGTGGATGTGACCATGACCACTTACGTCAGGGTAGAGATTACAATTCCATACGACGG